TGAGTTTGGAAGCCTGGACGTATGGATGCCGTGGACAGGTACAAGGACGCGCGCCTCCCGTGAAGGGATGCCTGTCGCAGTGTACCCACATCATGGCTAGATCTTTGGCCACAATCCTGTGCCCAACATCCTTCAGGCTGTTCAAAAAACTGGCGTCGGCAATGTGGATGCTGTCTGTAGATTTGTCCTTGTTGAACTCCTGGACCTGCAAGATTTCCGACCCGAAAAAGCCATTGTTAAGGTCAGCAGAAACGCTCCCACAGATACGGTCCCACCGACACGCACCCACAGAAATGCTCCCACAGACACCACACCACAGATATGCTCTCACAGAAACCACACCACAGTAACGTTACCACAAACGTAGTCACAGAAACGATCTCACAGAAACGCACCCACATAAACTTTCCCACACATACGCTCCCACAGATACGCTCCAACATATACGCTCCCACAGATACCCTCCCACAGATACCCTTCTATAGAAACACTCCCACAGAAACGAACCAACAAATATGCTCCCACCGAAACCAAACCACAGAAACCACACCTTACATTCGCTCCAACAGAAACCACACCACCGAAACGGTACCACAGAAACGATCTTACAGAAACGCACCCACTGAAACTTTGCCACAGATACGCTAGCACAGATACGCCACCACATAAATGCTCACAGAAACGCCCCCACAGATGCGCTTCCAACGATATGTTGACATTCAAGTGCTCCCAAGACAAATACAAAGCCACAAAGCATCTGCGAATGCGATTCAGACTCGCAGAAGTGACCGTACCTTCTTCAATTCGCCCTCCAGCCACGGGTAAATGTGTTGAACGAACAACTCTTCCAAACCATCTGGCAGAGGGACATCGTGTCTTCCAATGTAACAGTCTCCCTCCACGCCGCTGAATCCAGCCAGCAGAAAGACAGCCTGTCGTGGAGGTGAGACGAGGTAGCACTTGCGCATCTCATTCTGCTCCCATCCTCCCAGATGTGCAATCTGCGGTTCTGGACAGAGAAGGTCGCAGAGGATCTGTGCAGCGGATCTTCTGAAGATGTGGATGACCTTGCTCAGCAACTACTTGGCCGCTTTTATCGCCCAACCGACCCACTTGTTGTGCATCTTGTACGGCAGCTCCCCCTGCTCGGGGTCGTCCAGGGCGAATAAGAGGTGCTTCGACGACCACTTCGTCGGGTCGGAGAAGTCGAGAGGCTTAATTATCTCCCTCTTGTATTACAGATGCATGAGGTCATACACCCAGTGGATCCACAGAAACACTGCACCCATGGCGCACTGCTGCCAGTAGAGGCTACGCGTTAGAAACTGGTGGTCCAACTTGTTGTCGTGCACAACCTTCGACTTTCGGCTCACTATGACGAGGACGGGCACCTTTGCGGGGGCAGCAGACGAGGTGTTGCTCGGAATCTCATGGATGTATATGTTGGCGAAGCGGATCTGTCGAATGCTACAACCCCTTCCCAGCACGTAGTGTGTCTGAAGAATCATCACCTTCATCGCCAATGCCCTCCACAGAGTCCGACTGGGCTCATTCACAGCTTCGTCGAACTCATTTATGGCAGCGGTCGGCAAGGTCGACTCGTTCAGCTGGCGAAACTGGTCCGCGGAGTAACAGTCATCGAGGGACCCTCGATGTTGATCCTTGCCCTCTCTGCAGAAAACGTAGTGGAAGAAATGTTAGATCTAATCTTTCCTCAACGACCCTGCTGTAAAGGCAAGGTAGGCAGAACACGCAAAACCTTACGCGATCTGTTGAGCGTTCAACTGTCGTAGCTTGACCTTCACAAGATCTCGCGCAGATGCGATAAGGGCTGTCGGCAAGGATGTGTCCTCGTTGAACAGAATGGCATCGACGGAGCAGAGGCAGCCCAAGGCGTTCATCTGGGCTTTCATCATGCCCGCCGTGCATTTCTTTGGGGCTTTCCCTGCGATGACCTTCTGACCCTCTTTCAAAGCTTCGGCCTGCTCCTCGGTCTGCCAAAACATGTACTCGATATACGCTTCGAGCCTCCACTTCGTCGTGCGTGGTCCATGCAGATGGATCTCGGAGAGGGGGACTTTACACCAATCTTTCCCCAGATTGTTACCCAGGGTCTCGCCGACCTCGTCATCGTTCTCCAGCAGCTCTCCCTCCGGAATCTTCAGATCCTTGACTTCGTTCAAGAACTTGACGACCCACTTCTTGAACTCCATAAAATACCCGGCGTACTGTGGTCGAGTGCTTTTGCCTCGACCTTCAGCAGAGGAACTGATGCCTGCTAAACCAAGCTTTCTTTGGTTGTTGTCTCCACGTACACATTACCCGCGTACATGTTTCTGTCGGGCTGAGGCGGGACCTCTACGCGGGCAGCCGATTCAGAGCCATCTTCCTCTGTCTCCTCCTCCTCCCCCTCATCCCCCCGCTGCCCGCACCCCTCTCCCTCCCCCTCCTCTTCTGGTCGTTCTCCGGTCAGATCCACCCCAGGATCTGCCAATCCCTCATCTCTTATTTTTTTATTTGGCGCCCTTTCTTCCTGCTGCTGCGGTGTACAAATCGGATCATCTTCTACGTCATTTCCCTCAGACGAAGCCCCAACAGCATCCGCCTCTGCTTCGCCCTGTGCACGCGTTATGAACGTTTCATCTTCATCCGCCTGCGTACAATCTACAAAGATTTCAACTCCATCCAATTCCATCGCGATCCTGTCTGAGGAAGTCTACGACTGACAGACTCGCCCCCACAAAAACGCCCCCACAGAAACCCTCCCACAGAAACGTCCCCGCAAAAACGCTCCCACCCTAAACCCCCACAGAAAACGTCTCCACAGAAGCGCCTCCACAGCAACAACTCCACAGAAGCGCTCCCAGAGAATCGCTCCAACAGAAAAACACACGGAGAAACGCTCGCACAGAATCGTTCCCACAGAAACGCCCTTACAGAAACACACCCGCAGAAACGCTCCCAGACAAACGTGCCCACAGAAACGTGCCCACAGAAACGCCTCCGCAGAAACGCTCCCAGACAAACGTGGCCACAGAAATGCCCTTACAGAAACGCCTCCGCAGAAACGCTCCCAGACAAACGTGCCCACAGAAACGCCTCCGCAGAAACGTGCCCGCAGAAACGCTCCCAGACAAGCGTGCCCACAGAAACGCCTCCGCAGAAACGTGCCCACAGAAAAACCTCCGCAGAAATGCTCCCACACAAACGTGCCCACAGAAACGTGCCCACAGAAACGCCTCCGCAGAAACGCTCCCAGACAAACGTGCCCACAGAAACGTGCCCACAGAAACGCCTCCGCAGAAACGACCCCACATAAGCGCCCCCACAGAAACGCTACCACAGAAATGTCCCCAAAGATACGCACCCACAGAAACGCCCCCAGATAACGGTCCTGCAGAAACGCTCCCACAGAGATGCTCCCACAAAAGCGTCCCCACAGAAACGCTCCCACCCTGAACGCCCACTGAAACGTCTCCACAGAAGCGCCCTCACAGAAACGACCCCGCAGATGCGCCCCCGCAGAAGCGCTACCACAGAAGCGCCCCCAGAGAACAGTCCCTCGGAAACGCTTCGACGGATATGCACCCACCGAAACGACGAACCTAACATCTGAATTCCCAAGTCCCCAGATCTCCCATCGCAGATTCGAAAAAGGAGACAAATCTTAGGGCACGCCGTTTTATACTCGACCCGCCCCCGGCTTCTCGGTAGAAGAACATCAGGCCCTGAGATATCAGGCTTTTTAGGCTGATTTGGGTTTCGGGTCCAGGCCATATCTTGGCATTGGCTAATGCAAATGATACAAAGGCTTGTGAGGGACTTGTTGTTCAAGAATAAGTCTCAATGGGCAGTTTGCATACACAGGAAAATCATAGACAACAGAAAAAACAGCCATTGAAATTAAGCAAACCAGGGCTTTAACGTTGATATCTTAGGCCCTGAAGAACATCAAGGCCAGGCAGACACTTTTCATCGTATTTGCCCATCACCAAGCAACAATGTGTTCTAAAGTATAATGGGTCAAAAAATCATTCAACAGGTATCTTCTACATACCACTCAACCGTACTGTTTCAACAATATTTATCCAACTCCCCCGGGTTACCAACACCATCGCAGTCTCGTCGTACGACGTCGCTAGACGACGCGGAGATCGCCGTCAAAACCGACTCCGTCGCCAGCTACAGTTGCGGCGATGACAGACCCACGGATACGGGGTTTTATCAAGAGGGGCACGCTTTTTACCCATCCCCTTCGACGACGTGATCCCCGGAGGTTCAGCATTCGAGGGGCGGCAGGCGTTGGCGGGGCCCCCTCGACTGTTCCACCCTAGGGGTCCCAGTCCCAAACGCTAGGACCTGGGCCTTGGGACTGCCGTGCAAACGCGCAGGACCTGAGAGAGTTGGGAGTCCTATTCCCTACAGTTTCTGACTAACCATGGAACCCGACTGATGAAACATGCTGAGAACTCGCTAATTCTGATTGTTTATATTGTGTCACTGACGCAATATTATCGAGGCCCCTAATACTGAGCGCCGATGTACTTTCCCTTTCAAATACTGTACTGTACTTCGTTGGGTCGAGTATGAGAACAGTAATACCAATCACTTTCTCGTTTCACGTTGTTCGTTCAGCGGAGCTTCCAACTAACCTGTCGGTCCGGCAGTGTGACGTCACGTCACGTATGTGCTTCCCAGTCTTCGTGACGTAGCCATCACAACCGTCCGATGACCTCGGGCATGTGGACGGATGGATATTTCTATTCCAAAGCAGACCGCCCCAAGCCACGCCACTGGTACACATTTAAGCCCAGGGCAGAAGGCTTGGTTTGGGATCAAGGGCTTCACAGGCTTGGGGATCAAGGGCTTGGGGCACATCCACAGTGCACTCCACGCTACAAGCAGCGAGCTCCTTTGGGAATGCCGCCGCCATGCCTGCTTCCCTCCCTCCCTCCTCATTTCTCCTGTAAACTGGTACTATAGTAGCCTAGCTTCATTTGATTTGGTAGTCCAGCATTTATGTAATCAGGTTTCGTTTCGGCATTCAAACGGCCCAGCTGAGTCCTGTAACAAGCTCTTTCTCGTTAGTGTAGGACCGGTAAGGGCTCTTGGGTGAGGGATGGACAGAATTGCGGGAGACAACACAGCAGCAATGGAAACAGCCGCCACTGACGCGCCGCGAACATCGCAAGACGCGTCGCATCCGACTGAAACGTCGGTTGCGACGGTCTCCGATCACGCGACGTCGCACGAGGGTTCTCAACAGCGGACCGTTCACGTGGACGATCCTGACCGTACGATCCGCGAGGCCGAACTAGAAGAATCGGACGGCGGAGGAGGACTGATAGCGAGGTGGAGGATATGTCGGAGCCGATTGGCTAACAACCGCATCCGGACGAGTAAATACACTCTCTTAACTTTCCTTCCGCGCAACTTATTCGAGCAGTTCCATCGCGTCGCGTACATATACTTCCTCATCTTAATCTTAATCAATCAGATCCCCCAGCTCGCGATCTTCGGCCGTTACATCTCCGTCATTCCGTTGCTCTCCGTGCTGACGGTGACGGCGATTAAAGACGCCTTCGAGGACTGGCGACGGCACCGCGCCGACTCGCGGGAGAACAGCCGCGAGTGTTTAGTGTACCGCGGGGCCAGTGGTGTGATGCCACGTGGCAGAGCATCCGCGTGGGGGAGCTGGTGCATGTAAGGGGGGACTCTACAGTGCCGTGTGACATCGTTCTTTTGGCGTCTAGCGATCTGTCGGGTCGCGCTTTTGTGGAAACGATGAATCTGGACGGCGAGACGAACCTCAAGACCAGATACGCTGTATCTGCCGCACCAAAGAACACTGGTTCGGAAGCTGGCCTAGCAGAGGGCAGGATTAGGAAAGATGGTGGTGGAGACGATGGCTCCCACCTGAACCGGAATCAGCGGCATCTGCAGTCGCAGCAGCAGTCTCAACAGCAGAGCCAGACGCAGAAGCATAAGAGGAAGCAGCAGAGCAGCAGTCTAGCCGGCTCCCTGCAGCAGAAGCACGGCAGGGGCGCGGAGCAGTGGCACGGGTGGATGCTGACGTGTGAAGCCCCCTCCCGCAACATCTACGAATTCTCAGGGTTCCTGGAAAAATCAGAGAGGAATGGCGCTAACACCACCACAGGCTCATGCTCTGATGCACCCGGAGGGCCTCATGGGGCTGATGGGCCTGATGCTGGGGCTGCTGCTGCTGCTGCTGCTGTGTCTGCTCCTGATGGAAGCGACAGCACTGGAATTGGCTTTGGAAAAACCACCAACACTACTGGCAGTGGTAATGGCTGTGGCGCGAGCAGCAGCACCAGCGCTGGCAGCACCACCACTAGTAACAGCGATAGCACCTGCACCAGTCGTATCATCACTGTGGGTGCTACCATTAGCCCTGACACTAGCCCTGACGCTCCCGCCAGTAGCAGTATAGCTGTAGGTCCACTAAACGTTTTGCTTAGAGGGTGCGAGGTGCGCAACACAGCGTGGGTGGAGGGCGTGGCGGTGTACACTGGAGGGGACTGCAAAGTGGTGCTTAACTCAGTGGGGGCGCAGTCCAAGCGCAGCAGAATAGAGGCGCACTTAGACCGAGACATGCTCATCTTAGCTCTGTTACTTACAGTGCTGTGCTTAGTCTGCTCCATAGGCATGGGCGTGTGGCTTAGCAGCCATAATTTAAGTACCCTTCCGTACTACGGCGTTAGTTATGATTACTTAGGGGTGGGAGGGGAGGCGGCGCTTAACTTTTTTGCGACGCTGATTCTGCTGCAGGTGCTGGTGCCCATCTCGCTGTACATTTCCATGGAGCTGGTGCGAATATTCCAGGCTGTATTGATGACGTGGGACAGGGAGATGTGCGACGAGGCGGGGGAGCGAGAAGCTGAGGCGAGGAGAGGGTGGAGGCGACACTGGGTGGGGAGTAATGGGGGGAAGTGGGGCGGGGGGATTGGGCGGTGGGGGTGGAAAAATCGTTCGGGAGAGCAGAAGGGGGATGAGGAGGGGCAGGAAGAGGTGGACGGCAACAGGGCAGAGGAGAGAAAGGCAGAGTCAGGAAGAGTTATGGGAAGTGGTAGTGGAGGTGGTAGTGGTGGTGGTAGCAGCAAGGGAGAGGGCAGCAGTGGGTTGCTGTGCCGCGCGCTGAACATCAACGAGGATCTAGGTCAGGTGCGGCACGTGCTGACGGACAAGACCGGCACGCTCACTGAGAACCGCATGGCCTTCCACTCCTGCTCCGTCGCTGGCGTCGACCTGCACTCCCTGCACGCCCTGCCTTCTCTGCACGCCCTGCACCCCCGTGTACCAAGCCAGGGAAATTCTGATGCTTCTGGTGCGTCTGGGTCGACCCAAGGGGCACCTGTTGCTGCTGGTACTGAGGGGAGGGTTGTGGATGCTCAAGCTGGCACCAAACCTGGCGGTGTTGCCGGGCCTGGAGCTGTTACCGAGGCTGAGGTGGAGGCTCGGCTAGGTCAGCCCCCTGGTGGTGATGGTTCGGGGCCGCTGCAGCTGTCAGCGGGGCTGGCTCGGGAGTTTGCTGACGTGGCAGGCCCTGGTGCTCGGGGCTTGCTGGACGAGTTCTTATTGGTGCTGGCCGTGTGCAACAATGTGGTGCCGACACGTGTCAGCCTGACGGAGAGTGGTGAGCTGGACATGCATGCTGTGGGGGAGGGGGAGGAGGAGGAGCGGGTTGGGGGAGGGGAGAGCGAGGAATTCAAAAAAGAAGCAGCAACAGCAACCACCAGTGCTCATGTGGAGATGGGAAGTCCTGACGTGGGTGCAAGTGCAGCAGAGCCTACAGCTGACGTGGCCATTGATGACATGGCAGAGGCAGTAGGCGAAGTGATAGAGTACCAGGGCGAATCTCCAGATGAGGTGGCGCTGGTGAAGGCTGCGTCCGGCATGGGTTGGCAGCTAGTGCAGCGATCGGAGCACCACATCGTGATCAACGTTAGAGGGAAGGACGAAAGGTGAGGATGCATGTGGATTTGTTATCACCACAGTGGCAGAGATCGGTATTTCCGAAATGTTCCTTTCTTCGCTGCCCGCCTTCCATCCCCCCCCTTCCCCCTACGCTCTACGCCCCGGTAGCCCAAGGTTTTCCAAGAGACGTCCTTTAATTCCATGGGTATCCATGAGTTTGATAGCCTGCACATATGCACTAGGGCGCTTGTCCCTCTGCTATGCTATGCATTCTCTTCTCTCATCTGCCTTCGCTCCTGCTGCCTGTTGTCACGCGCCCTTCTTTCAGATATGACGTGTTGGGGTCTACGAGTTCGACAGCACTGGCAGAGGCAACTTCCCTTCGGATGCACATACTCTCTCCTACCCTCACCTTCCGTCTCTCCCTGCAACTTTCAGGTACGACGTGTTGGGGGTCCACGAGTTTGACAGCATGCGCAGGCGCATGTCCGTCGTCCTCCGCTGCCCGGACGGTTCCACGAAGCTTCTTGTAAAGGGCGCTGACAGCGCCGTGCTGAGCCGCGTCCAGACAGAGGAAGGTTCGGGGAAGGTTCCTGGAGCAGCGGAAGGAGGAATGGGTGGGGAAGGAGAAGGGAAGAGTGGGAGGGGGAGGCGGGGGAGTGGGAAGGGGTTTGGGTGCAGGGGGCCTCTGGGGGGTATGTGAGGAGGTGCTTTGTGAGGGCAGGGGGAGGGGCAGGGGAGGAGGAGCAGAATGCAGCGGGTACGGTGGTAAAGGATGAGGAAGAAGAGGAAGAGGAGTGTGAAGGGGATTCAGAGCAAGAGGAGGAGGAGGGGGTGGGGGGGGAAATGGTGGAAGAGGGGGAGAAAGCACAGGAGGGTATTGGTACCTCCCCTCACCACAGCCCCCCTCAAGTCCCCTCCCTCCAACAACAAATTCTCTCTGCCACCGAACGCCACATTCACCAGTATTCTCAAGCCGGCCTGCGCACTCTTGCCATCGCCACCCGCCCGCTCCCCCCTGCCGCCCTCCAGTCCTGGCTCGCCCGCTACCACGCCGCCGCCCACTCCCTCTCCGCCGACCGGGACGCGAAACTCGCTGCACTAGCAGATGAAACGGAGCGGGGCCTGCAGATTCTGGGCGCTACAGCCATCGAGGACAGGCTACAGGCGGGCGTGCCAGCCGCACTACAGATGCTGAGGGAGGGGGGGATGAAGGTGTGGATGCTGACGGGGGATAAGGTGGAGACGGGAGTGTCGATTGCTCGGTCGTGCGGGCTAGTGAGAGGGGAGGATAGGGTTGTGAGTGTTAGTGCAGGCACTGAGAGGGAGTGTGAGAGGAGGCTCAGGGAGGTGTGTGGGATGGAGGGGGTTGGGATGGAGGGAGGTGGGGGATTGGGAGAGGAAGAGGGAGTTGAGGGCGGGAGGGGAGGAGGAGGAGCTGAGACAGGGGAGGGGGGGAGCGATGTTAGGGATGGTGCAAGCAGCAGCAGTAGCAGAAGCAGTAGGGATGGACAGGTCGATTCAGGCGTGGATGGAGATGAGGGCGAGGGAGCGAGACCGAAGGAGAGCAGGGAACACATAAGGGAAGAGATAAACACATGTGGCACATCAGATGGAGGCAGCACAGCATCATCGTCATGGGCCATGGCCATTGATGGAGCAACACTGGCGCTGGCTCTTTCCCCCAGACTGCAATCCCTGGTAGGCACTGCGAGAATGTCAACTGTTGATCCTTTCCTGCTTGCTTCGCAGCGTCCAATGGGCCAGTGGTCCAATGGTCTAATGGTCCTCCTGCCCCTTGCCAGATCTTCTGCGCCTCTCAGCTCCATTCGGTGGTGCGTTGCTGCCGGGTTGCTCCAACCACCGACCCTCCTCTCCTTAACCATCTTGTCCCCACCCCCCCTCTCTCACTCCCCCCTCTCGTCCTCTCTGCCCTCCTGCTTATCCGTCAGTTCGATCACGCATTTCAGTGCCGTTCAGTGGAGCTGTGCGTCCCTCCCAACCCCCTCCCTCGTCCCCCCATCTTCTCCCCACCCCCACAGCTTTCTCGTTCCTCCTACCCCTCTCACCACTTCCATCGCGCCTCGCAGCGCTGCCCCATGCTGCTGTGCTGCCCCATGGTGCTGTGCTGCCCCATGCTGCTGTGCTGCCCCATGGTGCTGTGCTGCCCATGGTGCTGTGCTGCCCCATGGTGCTGTGCTGCCCCATGGTGCTGTGCTGCCCCATGGTGCTGTGCTGCCCCATGGTGCTGTGCTGCCCCATGGTGCTGTGCTGCCCCATGGTGCTGTGCTGCCCCATGGTGCTGTGCTGCCCCATGGTGCTGTGCTGCCCCATGGTGCTGTGCTGCCCCATGGTGCTGTGCTGCCCCATGGTGCTGTGCTGCCCCATGGTGCTGTGCTGCCCCATGGTGCTGTGCTGCCCCATGGTGCTGTGCTGCCCCATGGTGCTGTGCTGCCCCATGGTGCTGTGCTGCCCCATGGTGCTGTGCTGCCCATGGTGCTGTCTGCCCCATGGTGCTGTGCTGCCCCATGGTGCTGTGCTGCCCCATGGTGCTGTGCTGCCCCATGGTGCTGTGCTGCCCCATGGTGCTGTGCTGCCCCATGCTGCTGTGCTGCCCCATGCTGCTGTGCTGCCCCATGGTGCTGTGCTGCCCCATGGTGCTGTGCTGCCCCATGGTGCTGTGCTGCCCCATGCTGCTGTGCTGCCCCATGCTGCTGTGCTGCCCCATGGTGCTGTGCTGCCCCATGGTGCTGTGCTGCCCCATGGTGCTGTGCTGCCCCATGGTGCTGTGCTGCCCCATGGTGCTGTGCTGCCCCATGCTGCTGTGCTGCCCCATGCTGCTGTGCTGCCCCATGGTGCTGTGCTGCCCCATGGTGCTGTGCTGCCCCATGGTGCTGTGCTGCCCCATGGTGCTGTGCTGCCCCATGGTGCTGTGCTGCCCCATGCTGCTGTGCTGCCGGGTGGCGCCCTGCCCCCTTCATGGCGTGACTTCTTCTTGCCCCCCCCCTCTCACCAGTTCTATCGTGCCTCGCAGCGCTGTGCAGTGGTGCTGTGCTGCCGGGTGGCATGCGTGCCCCTTTCCTGTCCTGTGTTCTCCGTCCTCCCCCTTTTTTCATGTGCCCTTCCCTTTCTCCATGTGCCTCTTGTGTCCCGCCCCTATCCCCTCACCAGTTCTAACGCGCCTCGCAGCGCTGCTCCATGGTTCTGTGCTGCTCGGTTGTTTTTTTAGCCTCTACTCCCTTCCCCCCCCAACCCCAGTTCTGTGTATTCCCCCTCACCTGCTCTGTTTATCCTTTCCCTCTGCAGTTCTACCGCGCCTCGCAGCGCTGCGCCGTTGTGCTGTGCTGCCGGGTGGCGCCCATGCAGAAGTCTGCCGTGGCCGGCTCCAGTGACCCTCTTCTCCTTTTCCTTCTCTTTGTTGACCCTCTTCTTTTTCTCTGCAGTTCTACCGCGCCTCGCTGCGCTGTGCCGTGGTGCTGTGCTGCCGGGTGGCGCCCATGCAGAAGGCTGCTGTGGTGGCCATGGTCAAGCAGCTCTCAGGGGAATTAACCCTCGCCATTGGGGATGGTGAGTTTTTCTCAGGGGAAATAACCCTCGCTATTGGGAATGGTGATTTACTGCCAGGAAATTAATTAACCCTTGCTATTGGGGATGGTGAGTTACTTCCAGGGATTCAACCGTCGCTATTGGGCATGGTGAGTTTCTCCAAGCAACTTACCGTTGTTAAGGAGAAAATTTTAGCCCTCACTCTAGGTAATGCAAGTTATTCTTAAGGGATGTTTTTTCTCTCCTTAACCTGTTCGTTCTCCCACCCCCCCCTCGCCCCCCCCCTCTCCCTCGGTTAGTGTCATCATCAAACGGGCAATAGTTTGCCAATGATTCGAACAGCAGCGTCGCAATTTCACTCTACTCCTCCCCCCTCCCCTCTCTTCCCCTTCCTTTCCCCCTCCCCAACACCAGGTGCCAACGACGTGTCGATGATGCAAACATCCACTATCAGGGTGGGCAATAGGCCCCATGCATGCAGGCAGGTCGTGGTGGCAAGTGACTTCGCCATCTCGCAGTTCCGCTCTCTTCATCTCGCAGATCCGCTCTCTTGTTAATGCCCTGCCCGTTTCAGGAACCAACGATGTGCCGATGATCCAGATGGCAGCCATAGGGTGGGCACACGGGGCCACGAGGGGCGGCAGGCGGTGATGGCGAGCGACTTGGGCGTCTCGCAGTTCCGCATTCTCCTTCTTCTTACTGTTGCTCGTGTTGCTGCCCTCTTCTTTTCAGGAGCCAACGACGTGCCAATGATCCAGACGGCAGCCATAGGGGTGGGCATACGGGGCCATGAGGGGCGGCAGGCGGTGATGGCGAGTGACTTCGCCCGCTTGCAGTTCTGCTTCCTTACTCACTCTTTTATTCTCACGGTCTTGCGCTTCTTGTCAGGTGCCAACGACGTGCCAATGATCCAGACGGCAGCCATAGGTGTCGGAATTAGAGGCCATGAAGGACGGCAGGCGGTGATGGCGAGTGACTTCGCCATCTCGCAGTTCCGCTTCCTGGCGCGCCTGCTGCTGGTGCACGGCCACTGGAACTACCACCGCATGGCCTACATGATCGTCTACAACCTCTACAAGAACACCGTCTTTGTTCTACTTCTCTTCTGGTGGGTTTCGGATGTGGTTTTTGTCTGGTATGCTTCTCTTGTTGTTCTGGTATACTCCTGTCCCGGGGCCCTTCTGTTGTGCTCTCCCACTGCAACTACCACCGCATGGCGTTCACGGCCATCTACAACCTCTACAACAACACCGTCTTCGTGCTGCTGCTCTTCCTCCTGCTTGGGGTATGCCCCTTCTGCTCGGACTAACTCAGTGCATCAAAGCTCTTCTGTGCTGCCCCTTCTTCCTTTTCCCACACCTCTTGGTGACTTTAGCGTCGACTAAAAAGTATCTTCTGTGCTGCCCTTCCTTCCTTTTCCCACACCTCTTGCGCCTCTGTTTTTCTCTCACAAACCCCAGGTACCTGCTACAAACGGCATTCTCCACCACATCAGCCATCAGTCAACTGAGCCTCATGTTCTTCTCTCTCCCCTACACCACCACCCATTCACTTTGCTCCTATGTTTCTCCTCCTTATCTCCTTCATCCCCTCCCCAGGTACCTGCTCCAGACTGCCTTCTCCACCACATCAGCCATCGGCCAGCTCTCCCTCATGTTCTTCTCCCTCACCTACACCACCATCCCCACCGTCGTCGTCGCCACCGTCGACCAAACGCTCCTCCCCACCCGCCTGCTCACCTGGCCGCAGCTCTATGGCGCCGGGCAGCGCGAGGAAACTTACAACCTGCCCGTGTTTCTGGCTGCCATGCTGGACGCCACGTGGCAGAGCCTGGTGCTGTTTCTGGTGGGGCTGGCGAGCGTGAGCAGCCTGGATGGTGACATGTCGGCGCTGGGGCAGACGTGGCTCGTGGCGCTGGTGCTGGTGGTGACGGTGCATCTTGCGATGGACATCCGACGGTGGACATGGCTCCATGGGGCGGCTATTGCGGTTTCTATACTCATTACAGTGGTCTCGCTACTGGTTATTGACTACATCCCTCTGCTGCCTGAATACGGGTGAGTATTTTTCTTCTTTTTTCGTGTTTTTGTGTATCTGATTGCCAGTCACCTCTTCCCCGTGCCTCCATGTGCCATCTATGTATTGATCACATCTGATAAGTGAGTGGCATGGCATGAGACATGGTATGTGGGGCATGGTAGGAGATGGTACCTGGAAGTGACATGGTACCGGTTACCGGTATCTGGTTGGGACGTGGCATGGTATCTGTGACATGGCATGGTATCTGTGACATGGCATGGTATCTGTGACATGGCATGGTATCTGTGACATGGCATGGTATCTGTGACATGGCATGGTATCTGTGACATGGCATGGTATCTGTGACATGGCATGGTATCTGTGGCATGGCATGGTATCTGTGACATGGCATGGTATCTGTGACATGGCATGGTATCTGTGACATGGCATGGTATCTGTGACATGGCATGGTATCTGTGACATGGCATGGTATCTGTGACATGGCATGGTATCTGTGACATGGCATCGCTGAAATGTATTCGTATTTATTGGTGGAGCTTCATGTCCCAAAACACCTGTTCTCTTGTCGCTCTTGTCTCTGTGTTTCCCCATCCTTGTCCGTTCTTTATGACCGCAGGTCGTTTCGATACGCCTTAGCCACGTCAACATTCTGGTTGGACGTGCTTCTAATGGTGGTGCTTGCAGTGCTGCCTCGCTTCTGTGTCAAGGTGGTGTACCAGAAGTGGTGGCCCACCGATATACAAATAGCGTACGAACACGAATGTGTACATATGGATCGTCGCCGTAACAAGATTTCCAACTTCTTGTTACCGTGATGTCGTGCTGAATTCAATCATTCTTTTATTCAGGCATGATTCACCTCGCCAGAAACAGCTATGGTAGTTGCTTATAGGCAGTCACATCTCACACCAAACATCCTTGCACGTAAGGGGTCACTGTGAAGAACTTTCAACTACCGGCATACAGTACCGGTATGTGATCAATGTGTGCTGTGCAATGTGCAATCTTCCGTCATCATCACATAAGAGATTCCGATATCACGCCATGTTACCGGACATGCAGGCACATGCTCTGAATGGTCATTGGTCGTCATGCACCACACACACAACACAATTACACGCCGCTGTGCAGCCTCCCCATCAGGTCAGCTTGCAAGAAGCTCCTTCGCTCTTTAGCACACATTTGCCAGGCAGGCATGTGCCATACGAGGCGATGGGCATGGGCCACAGGGAGTAGGCGGCAGCAGTGCTGGAGTGACCAGACCCTACGCACAGACTGAGGTGACCCAGACTGAGGGAGCGATCACCAAGCACTACAGAGGCGCTTGCATGCACCATACACCATTGCACAGCCTACCAAATCAACATGTATGGGGATGTAAGGCACGCACTTATAAGGCTTGTAGGACACAAAGGGGCACAGTGATGAGAGCACAAGTAGCGGCAGTGGCAAAGCAGCCAGAGTGCGAGAGCACGTGGGTGTTGCACCCCGACAGCAATAAGACACCACCTACATACACACTACACGCCGCTGCACAGCCTCCCGAGCAGGTCAGCGTGCATGGGAGCCTCCAAAACGCTCTTGTCAGGCATGTAAGTGGTGACGGGCCGCACACAGGGCATAGACGGCAGCAGCAGCAGTGGCGGAGCATCCAGACTAGGAGAGTGCGTTGCCGTTGTTTTTGAGGCGCCTCAAATGTCCAGACTCGGAGAGCATGTCAGCATTGCAGCCTGCCAATAAGCCGCTGCATTACACGCCGCTGCGCAGCCTCCCGAGCAGGTCAGCGTGCATGGGAGCCTCCGGAACACACTTGTCGGGCATGAAAGCCGCGAAGGGCCGCAGCGAGTAGAACGCGGCGGTGGCGGAGTAGCCCGACTGGGAGAGCACGTGGGTGTTGCACCCCGCCAGCAGCAGCCAGTCAGCCACAATGTCCAGAAACGCCTCCCTGCTGTCCCACTCAGCAGTGCCTGCTGACGATGGTGCTCCTGCTGGCGCTGCTGCTGCTGCTGCTGCTGCTGCTCCCGCTGCTGCTGCCACGGGTGCAGCTCCTGCATCGGTTTCCATGAGCTTTCTTCCTGCTGTCAGTGATGTAGGCCCTATTGGGTGTCCACAACCAATCAACGGCTCACAGGTAACCTGTATCAACGGCTCAGATTCGGCGCTGCTGTTGCTGGGTGTGGGCACAGCACGAACGGATGTAGAGGGTGAACCCGCCGGCCACTCTGCCAGCTTCCGGACTGGGACCATATCGAGTTGGCTTGTATGGAGGAGGTTGGAGTGACGTGGCATGATGCAAGATGTCACCACCTGAGAGGGCGGCAGGAAGAGAACATAGGGGTAGATGACGAGACAATGCACGGAACCTGAGAGGGCGGCAGGAAGAGCGCATTAAGGGGTAAACGACAAGGCAAAGCTGGGAACAGAAAAGTCAGTTAAACAAATCTGTAGACTCTTCAAGCAAGAAGGAGAAATTCAGTGACTTCATTTTACCAGGCAAAAAAATATGTTTCCCTACCTTGTCAGGGTATTTCCCCTTGAGCGCCAGCTTAAGTCGGGCAGAGTTGGTGACGAGCAGCCATCGCACCGAGAGGGACGGGGGCAGCCAGAACTGCTCTATGGCCTTGAGGGGGGGGAAAGAGAGGAGAAGCAGGAGAAGGAGGAGATGGGGGCGAGGAGAGTTGAAGGGAGGCTGGCAGGAGCGCAGCACAGGATTCAGAGAGCACCCATCACACCGAGACAGCTGGGGGCCGCCTGAGCCGCTCAAGGGCCTTGAATAATGAGAGGAGAGGGGGAACGAGGGGGGAGAGGGACGAGAGGGGAGAGGGAGACGAGTGTTGAAAGGGACGTCAGGAGGGGTGGTGAACGGAAATGCCTCGCAGAGTGAGACCATGGGATTGACAGAAACATGAGAAGCCAAATCAAAGCGACCACCCCAAACCCTCTCTCCTCCACTTGTAACCCCCTCCATTCCCCTCCTCTCTATCGCTCTCATCTCACACACCGCTTCACCCCCCCTCCCCCCGAACCTCATCGCACCTCGGCACACGCCACCCACTTCCACACTGCATGCCTCCTCCTCGGTATCCCAATCCGCCCCCCCCCCTGTGCCACTCCTCTTCCCCCCCACTTCCCCCCTGTGCCCCCCTCTTCCCCCCACTCCCCCCCTGTGCCCCCCTCTTTCCCCCCACTCCCCCCCCGTGCCCCCCCAATCCCCCCTGTGTCCCCCCAAACCCCCCCCTGTGCCCCTCCACTCCCTCCCCGTGCCCCTCCACTCCCCCCCTGTGGCCCCCCACTCCCCACTTCCACCGCATACCTCATCGCACCTCGGCACACGCCACCCACTTCCACACTCCTTTGAGCAACGCTGTCTCCTCCTCAGTACCCAGTGTCACATTCGCTAAAGTCACATTCCCTGCTGCAACATTCCCTGTTGTGGCATTACCCTCCCCTTGCGTCTCCTCCTGCCTCGCCCTCTCCTGCCATGCCACATCAGCATCTGGAAGCCGGACATGCAATCCGACGGTTACGAGAGGTCCGGCACCCGAACCTGCTGCCGAGCCTGCCACCAGCTGCTGCTGCACTGCCTGCACTCGCTCCCATACCTCCGGGTTTGGCCTGGAAATCAACAAACCAATGGAACACGCTTGGTAAAGTGCTTACTTAGATGGAGAGAAAGAAGAAAAAGGTAGCAGCAAGAACATAACATGATACTTCAGGAGCAGTCCAACCCATTCATGCCATCGCTCAATCACCCATCCATGCCATCGCTCAATCACCCATTCATGCCATCACGCAATCACCCTCCCCATCTACCCCCACCCCTTTCTCACATACCCCCTCCCCCCCCCTTTCCCTATGCTTTCCCCCCCCTCCCCCATTCCTTACTTGAACAGGAATCTCAGGATGCATCCGAAAGCGTACGGTAACCGCAGGCCCATCTCGTGTAACCGCCTCGCCCTCCCCCCCGTCCACGGGCCCGCAAGCATCCTAGTCAGCATGCCGCGATTCCACCTCACCCGTACATTCACTGCGTTCTGAGACAAGCCGCCCCCCTTGCCGCCCGCCTTGCCGCCCTCTTTGCCACCCAGAAAGAACCAATCAGGATTCGCGTTCCGATTCAGCAGATCTAGCAGTACCACCTCCCCCGGTTGAACCTCCCCCTGCCATTCCTCCCAGTGCTTCTTCTCCGATAGCTTATCGCGGGGGATGGGCGGGGCGGGGGAGAGGGGGATATCAGAGGATAGGGTCCAGTCCACCAGGGCGGGCTGGAAGGCCCAGGGGAGGCACGCGTGGCGGATAAGGAAGGCGCGGTTGTCCAACAGCGCGACAGCGAATGACGTGGCGAGGCCCACGAGTGAGTCACCGAGGCCCCCGCACTGGTCGAGCCAATCGTAGGTGAGGAAGCGGAGGGGGGGGGAAGGAGAGGAGGTGGGAGGGGAGGAGGAGTTGGTGGGAGGAGGTGGGAACGACAGCGGTGCTGCTGCTGCTGCTGCTGCTGCACTGGATGCAGTGGCACCAGTACTTGCACCCCCACCACCACCCCCACCCCCACCACCACCCCCACCCCCACCCCCACCACCACCCCCACCCCCACCACCACCCCCACCCCCACCCCCACCCCCACCAGCACCAGCAGCAGCAGCAGCAGCAGCAGCAGCGGCGGCGGCATGTTGAGCGGCGCTAGCAGCGCGCATGCGGGAGTGCAGGGCCGCGTAGTCGACGGCCCACGAGCCACAGAGGTCGGCAGGAAAGGCCGGGTCCAGCAGCGGGAGGAAGGCAGCGGGGGGGAGAGACGAGGCCATCTGGGGACGAGTTGGTTGTGCGGGGAGGGTCCAGGGGAGAAGGGCAGACGACAGGAGGGTGGGGGAAGGGGGAAATGTGCCAAACCATGGCAGACGGGGGGGAATGCCGCCGGGCGGCGCGGGAGCAAGGGTGAGCGGAGGAGAGATGAAGCGGAGAGATGAGGGTTGGCGGATGAGCACAGAGGGGTGAAAGAGGGGGGAAAGAGGGGTGACAGAGGGGGGAAACGGCACTGCCTGTGCCACGCAGCTGGCGCACTGAGCGCGATTGGAAAGCATGCTGCCCCGTACGGCTTAAGCCACCTCGATTGGAAAGCATGCTACCCCGTACGGCTAAAGCTTGCTATTACCCACGCCCATGAGCCGTGAAAGAACACTAAAAGTGCTCTTGAGAATTCTAGAAAATCCTCTCGGTGAGAGCGGGTGAAGCTACCAGCGGTTAGAGAGCACCTGGAGGCTCGTCCCCATCAGGAGCATCACGGCGACGCCGAGGAGCCATCGCCGGCGCGATTGCCGCGATGCAGCGCGCCGAGCTTGCGACCGAGCAGAGAGCATCGCATGCCGCCGACTCGCGGGCGGCTCTTCAACCTGGCGCGTCTGGACGTAGATGACTCGCCAAGGCAGTCCGCCTACTGCCACGAGAGTTGTCGGGACGTGGAATCTTGTTTTGAGGCGCCTCAAGAATGGAGTGGACGCCTGGACGAGTGGATGCATGGACAGAGCGGCGACCTGGAAGACGGTCGGGAGGGGAAACGGCGGCGTTGTTCGATAGGAATTCTGGCACAAAAATCTGATGGTCAGGAGCTCTTTGCGAGAGCTGGACGAGAGGGGAGAGAGGGACGAGAGCGTGAAAAGCGGGGAGTGGAAATGAGGGGAGGGGGTGGGTTGTGTCGAGTTTATACCCTCTGTTGACAGGTTCGATACAACTGTGTGTCGGGTAGAAGACGAGACAGAACTTCGTATCCTATACCTGCGAAATGGCCTCACATTTACGATTTCGCAAACTAGCTTTATGGGCGATGCCACGTGCCAGCCTGCATTTCCTCCGTCATCCAGCACATGCGCCAGGCGTGCACAGCATGTGCTGTGCACAGCGTCAGAGTCCATCGATGACATGCACAGCACAGCACAGCACAGCACCTGATGACGTGGCAGGCCCGATCTCGGCACATTGCATAACGAGCGCAATTCCCGCCTCCTAACATTTCAATCCTTAGGAGGTTCCAAATTCAGCATTTAGGTCCACTTTCCGGTTGGCATTTAGGCCGATTCGCCAACATTCCACCCGCCCTCTAGACCGCCTTGTTGAACGGGTAGCGAAGCTGCTGTCCTCCGTAGTACCGCGCGTAGGTACTGTGTGTGTAGTCCCGTGTGTAGTTCCTTGGGCCTTCGAATCGGCCCAGTCCCCTTCTCGCTGGCAGTTTCTCGCTCCAACGTTCGTAGTCACAGCCAGGTGCCAAGAGCACCGCATGCCGCACGGTGTCTCGAAGAGAGGCGCATGCTCGCGCAATCAGCTAGTCTGTGCCGTCCCGCGCGCTCTACCCTACTGCGCGTGCTCCTTTCCCCTCTCCACTTCCGATTCACTCTCCCCGAATATTCTTCTCTCATAGGCTTCCTCGCGCCAGTTGCCGCTTTAGTCACCGCCGATTTAGTCACAACCACGTGGCCGCTGGTTCGGAAGACCAGCGCAGCAGCTTTCGAGCGTCAGGGCTTCCCGTCAGCTCAAATCACGACTCCCTTTCGCTAGTGTCACACTCTGATAGCATGGCGAGTCTTCTCGAGCGGACGGAGATCGGCGCGCTTGTATCGGAGAAGAGGGAGATTATATCGGTGCCCGACACCGCCACTGTGCTGGACGCTCTCGAGGTAACGGGCACGGCTCGATGCTGTGGATTTGTGGCCGGTGTGCTTGTATCGAAGGTCACGTATGCATTCATCTAAGGGTGCTCTATCGCATCAGTCCTTCGCGGCTGAATGGCAATCGTAAGGCGCCTCACGGCGGTTTCACTTTTCCGGAAACGGCCCGTCTGAATGGAGCGAGTAGGGAGTTCCCTTCCGCCCTACTACCCTGCTTCACCTTTACAGACTCCCCTCCCCCTCCACTCACCCCCCCCCCCCCCCCCCCCCCCTCCTCCCTCCCCCCCTTCCTCCCCCCACCCCCACGAGCGCACGCACTTCCCCCCTCTTTCTGTCACCCTCGTATCCCTCGCCCAGTGCGCCCAGTGAGCCCAGTGTCCGACGAAGGCGTCACTGGGCAAGTGTCAGCCCCTCGTCCGCCTACCCCCCCCTCCCCCCCTTCCTCCCCCCCACCACGCACGCACACTCCCACTCATGCTCCCACTTCTCCTCATCCCTCCACGGTCCACCACCCCTCCCCATCCCCCACCTCCCCCCCCATCAGCTTATGAACGCCGACGATATCATCGCGCTGCCAGTAGCACTGTCGCTATCCTTCACCCACGCCCGCTCTCTGTCCCCCCCTCCCTCCCCTCCCTCCCCTCCCTCCCCTCCCTCCCCTCCCTCCCCTCCCTCCCGTTCCTCCCGTTCCTCCCCTCCCTCCCTTCCTCCCCTTCCCCACCCTCCCCACCGTCCCCACCGTCCCCCTCCCCACGATCTGCGGATGAACGCCTGCAACGCCATTGCGCTGCCACTACCAGCACCGCCAGGAAAGTGAGGCAGCACCACTAATGCATTCGCCCTTGCCTTTCCCCATGCCTCCTCACCTCTCCCCTGTTCCCCCTGCCTCCCATCAGCCAATGAACGGCAACAGCATCGTTGCGCTGCCAGTAGCATTGCCTTTGTCCTTCACCCATGTCCGTTTTCTCTCCCTCCCCCATTCCCCCTTTTTCCCCCCCCACCTCCCTTCCCCCTCAGCTCATGGACGCCAACAGCATCATTGCGCGGCCACTAGCACTGCCCGTCCCCAATCTACCCCTTGCCGACCCACGCACCCTCCCCGTTATCCTCCCCAATCAATCAGCTGATGAACGCCAACAGCATCATTGCGCTGCCATTAGCGCTGCCTTTCCCCACCCTACCCCTTGCCTCCCCACACACCCTCCCCTTCTTCCCCCTTCCCCCCCGGCAGCTAATGAACGCCAACAACATCATCGCGCTGCCAGTCGCAGCACCGCCGGGGAAGCGAGACAGTGCCACTAATGCATTCGCCCTTCTCTCTCCCCACCTCCCCCCCTCCCTCCCCCCCGTCAGCTGATGAACGCCAACAACATCATCGCGCTGCCAGTAGCAGCACCGCCAGGGAAGTGGCTTGGGGCTGGTGGCGCCAACATCATTGACGGGGAGAAGCAGTACATTGTGAGCTGGTAATGGGTGGCTTCTAGCGAGTCCTATTGTACGAGGTATATTGTTGCAGCGAGGTGCTGGTGGCTGGTGGTGCTCACATCATAGATTAGGCGAAGCAGTGCACAGCACGGTGGACTGGTAATGGGTTTATTGTACAGTAACAAAGTTTGTTTATTTTAACTCGTTATTGGGGCTGGTGTAATGAGTAATTTTGTAAGGTTTATGCACATGTTTTGACCCCATCCATAACCAACCTCCATCCCTTTCCCATCCCCTCCGTGCGCCCACCCAGGTTGTGGTGAGCATGTGTGGTGAGCATGTCAGTCGTGGCATGGCAGTGCGCCCGTCCCGTCTTACATCAACCCCACTCACCCCCTCCCCCCTGCCACCCATCCCTCACCCTCCCCTCTCCTGCGCGCCCAGGGTGTGGTGAGCATGGCGGGTGTGGCAATGCACCTCGCCAAGGAGACGGCGAGGCCATGTGTGTGTTGAGTCCGGCTGTACTCAGCAGCTATTACCTGAGTTTCACTCACTGCCTCACCCCCCCTTCCCCGCGAACCCAGGGCGTGGTGAGCATGGCGGGTGTGGCAATGCACCTGGTCAAGGAGAGGGCGAGGCCATGTGTGCTTTGAGGCTAGTCATAGATAGCCACTCTCTTTCCTGCCGATCCCTTCCCTCGCCACCCATCTAGGGCGTGGTGAGCATGGCTGACGTGGTGATGCATGCACCTGGTAAGGGAGAGAGACAACCTCCCCTTGTAAGTGTTTTTCTCCTTCTGCTCCTCTCTCCCCCACCCTCTCAGGGCGTGGTGAGCATGGCGGACGTGGCCATGCACCTGGTGAAGGAGAGGGCGAGGCCAGGAGCGCTAAAGGAAGGCGTGGTGAGCCTCATAGGCAACTCGGCTGAGGGGCTGTCGCTGTGGGTCGCTTCCAACACCACCCCGTGAGTAGTCTCGAGCACACCACCCCGATGCCATGGAGCCTTTAAGCAAGGGTATTCACACGCTGCTGGTGCACTGCCCCATCGCCCCTGCTCCTGCTGTTGACACCACACACGCGCCGTCCTCTGTTGCCGCCCCTGCTGCCATGACCTCTTATCCCCCTTTCCGTCTTTTCCCGCCCCACTCTTTGACAGGTTAGTTGATGCCATGGAGCCGCTCAGCAAGGGCATTCACAGGCTGCTGGTGCGCTGCCCCATCGCCCCTGCTCCTGCCGCTGACTCCACACTCGCCCCTTCCTCCGCCGCCCCTTCCTCCGCCGCCCCTTCTGTCATGACCTTCGGCCACACCACACCAGACGCACCAGACACACCGGAAACGCCACTAGAAGCAGCATCAGAGATAGAAGCGTCAGCTAGTAGGCCAGCAACAGGAGCAGAAAGCGATACGGAAGCAGCAGCAGCAGCACTGCCCGTCAAGCACTCGTACCACTTCGTATCCCAAACCGACGTGGTAGCCTTCCTGCTCATGCACCTGGACTCCTTAGGCACCGTGGTTCAGCGCACCGTGGAGCAGCTAGGCCTGGTCGACCCCCTCTTCCCGCCCCTCGCTATAGTGTCGTGCATTACAGTCACGGACGCGCTGCGGCTGATGCAGCGGGCGAGTGGGGTGCGGGCGGTGGCAGTGGTGGAGGGCAGTGCGGAGGAGGAGGAGGGGATGGAGGAGGGGGAGGGGTCGGGGAGTGCTGCTGGTGCTGACGTGGCAGGAGGGCGGGGAGGAGGGGGAGGGAGGGGAAGGGAGAGGGGTGCTGCAGGATGGGTGAGGGGAGGGAGGTTGCTGGGTACGCTGTCAGTGTCGGATCTTAGAGGCATGGATGCGGACACTCTGGCCCAGCTCACATCCATGAAGGTGCGACATAAGCCTTGCGCCTGCGTGCACAAGTATGTGCAAATATTGTGCATGAATACACGGTACACTGTCGATGCTGCATCTGCGGGGCATGGATGCAGAAAACACTCTCGCCCAACCTAACTCACCACGTCCATGAAGGTGCATCCTCCAATCCAACATGTGTCACATGGCCGCCCCGCTGGCTGAGGTGATGGCGTTGGCAGCGACCAACCGCGTGCACTGTGCGAGGGTGATTTAAGGATACGGGACGCAGTATGTGTGTGCGTGACAAGCCTCCTCTGCTCTATGTTCTCCCTCTGTTTGCCTCACACCACCATGCTCCCTCATCTTCCTCCCCCACCTACAGGTTCGAGGTGATGGCTCTGGCAGTGGCCGACTGCGCGCACCGCGTGTGGTTGATCCGAGGTGCTGAAATCCTGTCTGTGGGTTCAGCACCTCGCATGACAAGACACGCCTCCCCATTCTCATTCTCCCTGCCGTTATTCCCGCGCACTTCCTCGTCTAGTTTTGAGGCGCCTCAAAACTAGACTCCCGTGCACTTCCTCGTCCTCCCCTTCCCCATCTACAGGTTCGGGATTTCCTCTCCCACATGGCATCCCTCACCCCGGAGGGCCGCCGCCCCTCCATCACGTGCCGCATGGAGGCCCCTTTGGCCGAGGTGATGGCGCTGGCAGCGACCAACCACGTGCACCGCGTGTGGGTGACTAGTGAGGACGATGAGCTGCTGGGAGTGGTGTCGCTGACAGATGTCGTCGCGGCGTGCAGAAGGGCGGGAGGGCCGAGGTAGATGATGGGCTCTACGACCTCAGTAGTGCTGGCAGTGAACAACGGCATGCACCGCGAGTGGGTGACCAGTGAGCTGCTTGGGGTGGCGCCACTGACAGATCTCATTGCGGCGTGTAGAAGGGCTGGAGGCCAGAGATACATAGGCAGCTTCCTAAGGGGTCAGTGGTGGTGCCGGCAGCGACCAACTGCGTGCGCCGCGTGTGGGTAACCAGCTAAGATGGTGAGCTGGTGGGTCACGCACAGGTCGTTGCTGCCGCCTGCAGAAGGGGGCGGGAGGGCATAGTTATGCAATGGATAGGGCAGCAGTAACAGCGCTGGCAGTGGCAGTGGACTGGCGATGTGGGAGTAGATGGTGTGATGTGATCGCAGTTGTGGCATGCATGCAGCATGCACAAGGCTGGGAGGGAGGGAGGTTGAAGAGGAGAGGATAGGATGTGAGATGGTCAGGTCAGGGCATGAGTCAGTTGTTCCACTGAGTCTTGCCATGCCACCGCTGCAACATTCATGAAGCATGAGGGCTGAAGGGTAGACCAGGGAATCTTGTTGACCTGAAGTATTGTAAGGGCATTGATCAAGTTCTTATGCTCGCTGTGCTAGGGAATATTGTTGACCTTTTATCAAACACCACTTTAGCTGAACACAATAGGCAGAGCTGCATACGTTCGCATCGCAGAGTCAATCTCAGAAAGCACAGTGAATTCCCATTGATCTTACATGGACATACTGTACCGCTCAAGGACATTCCCCATCCCACTCCTCTCAATCTACATAATATTATGGTAGCATTCTTTCACTGCTCACTTCCACCTATTCATAACCGCTCGTCTGCCCTGTGCACGCGGGCCACGGCGCACCTCCTCCCACCATCGCCCACCTGCTCGTACACTCTCACCCACATGTCCTCTGCTGCCAAGCACTCCCACCTTCCCCCTCCACCACCCTCCCACCGCCCTTCCCTGCCACCATCACCAGCAGCTGCCAGCATAGTAGGGTGAGAAGAACATGAGGGTGGCCGTTGCACCTGCATCACCAGTTGCACCAGCACAAAGTGATGCAACGAGGGGGCTGCACCCATCCCTTCCCCCCATGCCTTCTCCCACTGCACCACAATTGTCATCCGCCCACCTCACCTCATCCTCCCACACCACTGCCTCTGCTGCTCCTGCTGCTGCTCCTCCTCCTTCCCCTTCCCCGTGCCCACCACACCCAATGCCCTTCTCATTGCTCTCAACTGCCCAACACCCTGGTTGCAAAGGTACCTGTGCTGCGGTCACCCCTGTATCATTCCGCACATCATTCACCCCCATCCCCTCCACGCCTCTGCACACATTACTGGCCATGCCCCCACTGCCTATCGCCCTGCCCCCACTGCCTATCGTCCTGCCCTCACTGCCTATCGCCCTGCCCTCACTGTCCCCTCTCTTCCCCCCTGCACCACGACACCCTCCTGGGATACCTCTCAAGCTCAGCAGCAGCCCTGGGGTTGGGTCAAGCGGTTGCGAGCCAAGGGCAGAGTACACCGCCAAGCCTGGCCCGGAGGCTCGGGTGAAGTGCTCCTCTTCGAGAGAGACTATCCGAGGCACGACAGCCGCATTGACAAGCACAGTGTGACGGTTGGAATGGTCAGTGCTATGTGCAGCAACGCCATCAGCAGCACCGGTGCGAGAAGAAGCAGAAAGAGCAGCAGGTTGGGGATCAAGGGGAGGAGAGGGAGAGGGCGGAGAGGGAGAGGGCGGTGGGGCAAGGTGCAGCAGCACAGCAGTCATGCGGCGCTGGGTGACAAGCTCCCCTTGCTTCACGTGCCCGCTGAACGCGCTGCTGACACGGCTGCTGCGGCTGCGGTAGTTGAAGGGGAAGAGGTCGCGGTGCATGTGGCCGAACACCACTAGGGGGATGTGGCGATTGTCCGCCAGAGACGCTGCGAGTGCCTTGGATAAATCTGGTTGGGGGGGAGGAGTGCATGGAAGGAAGAGAGGAAGGGCGGTGGAAGGGGAAGAGGTTGCGGTGCATGTGGCCCAACACCAACAGAGGGATGTGGCAATTGTCCGCCAGACTAGCTGTGATTACCTGTGCCAGATAGATCTGTTTGAGGGACGAGAAAAGATGGGGAGGGGAAGTGGGGGGCCTGTGAGAAGTAAGTCTTTTGCTCCTTGGCACCTACCCACCTCCCTTCAACAACCCAACTTCTCTTCATCCCGCCATTCTCCCCTCTGCTCCACACACCTTGACGCCCCCCTGCTTGCCCTCCTCACCTTCATGCACAGAGCCTCCTCCCTGTGAAAGGCCTCGAAAGGCCCTTACTGCAGCTATGAGAAATCCAGATTTGAGACAGCTAGAAAATGAGGAGAGCAATTTTGGAGAATTCTAGAAAAAATCTCAGAAGTCTGAAATCTCAGGGGGACGGAGGATGGAGAGTCACTCTACCCACCTTGACGGCCCCCCCGCCCCTCACCTCGACGCCCCTCTGCCCGCCTCACCTTCGTCCCCAAAGTCTCCCCCCGGTGGCAGCCCTTTGGAGGGGAAGTCCTTGCCACAGATGTCCCAGGGGTGGGCGCCTAAACCTTCGACGGTGGGAAGACGAGAGAAGGAGAGAGAGAAAGGAGGGAACCCATGCATTTTGAGGGGAAGTCCTTGCCGCAGATGTCCCAGGGGGGGGCTCCCAGACCTGGCAACGGCGACTGGGGTGAGGGGCGAGTAGGAGAAAAGGGAGAGAGAAAGACAGCCCTTGAAAAAAAAAGAGGGTCCTTGCATCTGATAGAGGTAGAGAAAGACAACTGTGATCGTAGCAAAAGAGCTGCATTAATGTCAACTCCGTTAGCATCACACCACCACCAATCAGTGGTCTGCTACCTGCGGGTCGGTTGTGTTCGAGGACAATTGACGTGGCTGCTGCTTGGATGGGAGCAATAACGGTGCACTGTTGGAAACCATGGCTAGTGCCACGTCACGTCACAGGATCATCAACATGTGCTCTCTCGTGCCTGCAGGTCCGTTGAGTGCGTGCAGTTGGAAACTATGGCTCGGACAACCATGCTGTTGTGACTGTCGTTGAAAACATCGCTGTGACGCTCCGCCAGCAGCAGATGATGACACAGCATCATGGTGATAGCAGCATCATGGTGATAGCAGCATCACGGTGATAGCAGCATCATGGTGATAGCAGCATCATGGTGATAGCAGCATCACGGTGATAGCAGCATCACGGTGATAGCAGCATCATGGTGATAGCAGCATCATGGTGATAGCAGCATCATGGTGATAGCAGCATCATGGTGATACCAGCATCATGGTGATAGCAGCATCATGGTGATAGCAGCATCATGGTGACAGCAGCATCATCAAGGGCAGGGATGAGTAGGTCCGTTGATGATCCCTGGTCTACCGGAACAACTCTCCTACCTGAAGGTCCGTTGCATGCGAGGACCACCACAACGCTGTGAGAAACGGGCGCTGCTGAGACGGTAGCAATAGAGATGCTACCATCAACAGACGGCAGCAATAGAGATGCTACCATCAACAGACGGCAGCAATAGAGATGCTACCATCAACAGACGGCAGCAATAGAGATGCTACCATCAACAGACGGCAGCAATAGAGATGCTACCATCAACAGACGGCAGCAATAGAGATGCTACCATCAACAGACGGCAGCAATAGAGATGCTACCATCAACAGACGGCAGCAATAGAGATGCTACCATCAACAGACGGCAGCAATAGAGATGCTACCATCAACAGACGGCAGCAATAGAGATGCTACCATCAACAGACGGCAGCAATAGAGATGCTACCATCAACAGACGGCAGCAATAGAGATGCTACCATCAACAGACGGCAGCAATAGAGATGCTACCATCAACAGACGGCAGCAATAGAGATGCTACCATCAACAGACGGCAGCAATAGAGATGCTACCATCAACAGAGATGCTACCATCAACAGAGATGCTAACATCAATAGAGATGCTACCATCAACAGACGACAGCATCAGCAGAGGCCCTCCTACCTGCGGGTCCGTTGTGTGCGAGGACAACGACGCTGTGAGACGCAGGTGCTGCTCGGATGGTCTCTGTGATCTTAGCCGTGCTGGCGTTGATGGTGCGCACGCCACACCTGATGGTGCATAGGAATAGATTCAGACATTGACAAAGGGATGTATGGGTGAGCGAGAATTTTGCACTCTGGCTTGCTAGCTAGGTCTGAAGCGACCGCTGCTTCAGGTCACTTGCGCCTTCAGCTACTAGTAATTTCACCTGGCACAATAACTTATCTGTTCCTGGTGCGGTACGAGGGCTATACCTGAGGCAGGTGTAACTGGGATTACGTATCCGCTAGTGCCATAAGCACCCCTACCTGGCGCGGTAGAAGCTCTTGGCCCAGCTGGAGGGGCTGTAGGAGAAGGGGCCCGGTACCCACGCTAGAAGCTTTACCTGTCGTAAGCAGCTGCACGTGCCATACACTAGTACAGCACGCCGGTGCACCTGGCACGATAACCTCGCTGTACCTGGCACGGTAGAAGCTCTTGGCCCAGCTGGACGGGCCGTAGGAGAAGGGGCGCGCCCCCACGATGGACAGGTGCAAGTGGGGGAGGTCGATTCTGGTGTAGCCCACATGGAGGTTGCCGAGACTGTTGTGGGAGGTGGGTGGAACAGGCGGCTCTAGTGGGTGACCGCGACAGTGGAGTAAACATTTTGGAATAAAAAGAAAATGAGTCCACTGTAGGTGGATGGAACAGGTGGCTCAAGTGGGTGGCGGCGAGGGAGAGTGGGAGTCCGAGTGAGGACAAGGAAGGGAGGGGTGGAGGACGAAGAGGCGGGGGACGGGGAATCGAGTCATTTGGATGCTGCTGGTGGAACAGGGCATTACAACATCTTGCAGACACTAGGCGTGGTGGCGGGAGATTATGGAAGAGAATACGACGAGAGAGCAGGAGAGCAGGGTGGCATCAGAGGAAATGTGCGCTGTGATCTGCTGTGTGATCTGCTGTGTGAGCTTGTCGATTGAATCCACCAAAGCTGCGTTAGGCTTTTGAGAATACTAAATAACCTATCAGGGGGGGGGCATCAGAGAGAACATACGCTTCGATTTGCTGTGTGAGTTTATCCACTGAATCCACCGAAGGGTCATTGTCCTTCCTGCAGTCACCACAAAGAGGGATGGGCGCATGGAAACTAGGTAGTTACGAGTACTTAAGTGACATGTACGTACGTAAGAAGCAAGACAACGACAACCAAAGGAATCAGAAGCAATTATCGTGAAGCAATCATGGTAACATTTCATTTACCTGCGTAATCGATCTAGCTGACTAGCAAGCGAGTGCTCCATGCCGACTTATTTTTATGACGCATGCGCTTTCTTTACCGGCACAAGATTGAAAGTTCCTAAGCTTAAAGCGAGCGACTGCAATTACTTCAAGGTACAAAGTGCCTTGAACCTGCCAAGGGCGAAGCCAACCAGCCGAGTCCGAAAACACCTGGCGCGATTCAAGGTACTTTGAACCTTGAAGTTATTGTAGTCGCGCACTGAAGATGAAGATACTATGAAGATACTTTGTAGTTCTTTGTTACTTTCAGCCCCAGCTGAAGATGCGGAAGCATGTGTCATGGTTGCTGAGGATAACAGCCACCTCCATCACGGCTGCCCATCATGGCTGTCACTCACATGCCCATCACGGCTGTCATTCACATCCCCATCACGGCTGTCATTCACATGCCCATCACGGCTGTCATTCACATCCCCATCACGGCTGTCATTCACATCCCCATCACGGCTGTCATTCACATGCCCATCACGGCTGTCATTCACATCCCCATCACGGCTGTCATTCACATCCCCATCACGGCTGTCATTCACATCCCCATCACGGCTGTCATTCACATGCCCATCACGGCTGTCATTCACATGCCCATCACGGCTGTCATTCACATGCCCATCACGGCTGTCATTCACATCCCCATCACGGCTGTCATTCACATGCCCATCACGGCTGTCATTCACATCCCCATCACGGCTGTCATTCACATGCCCATCACGGCTGTCATTCACATCCCCATCACGGCTGTCATTCACATCCCCATCACGGCTGTCATTCACATCCCCATCACGGCTGTCATTCACATCCCCATCACGGCTGTCATTCACATGCCCATCACGGCTGTCATTCACATGCCCATCACGGCTGTCATTCACATCCCCATCACGGCTGTCATTCACATCCCCATCACGGCTGTCATTCACATGTCCATCACGGCTGTCATTCACATCCCCATCACGGCTGTCATTCACATCCCCATCACGGCTGTCATTCACATGCCCATCACGGCTGTCATTCACATGCCCATCACGGCTGTCATTCACATGCCCATCACGGCTGTCATTCACATGCCCATCACGGCTGCCATTCACATCCCCATCACGGCTGTCATTCACATGCCCATCAAGGCTGTCATTCACATGCCCATCACGGCTGTCATTCATATGCCCATCACGGCTGCCATTCACATCCCCATCACGGCTGTCATTAACATGCCCATCACGGCTGTCATTCACATCCCCATCACGGCTGTCATTCACATGCCCATCACGGCTGTCATTCACATGCCCATCACGGCTGTCATTCACATCCCCATCACGGCTGTCATTCACATCCCCATCACGGCTGTCATTCACATGTCCATCACGGCTGTCATTCACATCCCCATCACGGCTGTCATTCACATCCCCATCACGGCTGTCATTCACATGCCCATCACGGCTGTCATTCACATGCCCATCACGGCTGTCATTCACATGCCCATCACGGCTGTCATTCACATCCCCATCACGGCTGCCATTCACATGCCCATCAAGGCTGTCATTCACATCCCCATCACGGCTGTCATTCACATGCCCACCACGGCTGTCATTCACATCCCCATCACGACTGTCATTCACATCCCCATCACGGCTGTCATTCACATGCCCATCACGACTGTCATTCACATCCCCATCACGGCTGTCATTCACATACCCATCACGGCTGTCATTCACATCCCCATCACGGCTGTCATTCACATCCCCATCACGGCTGTCATTCACATGCCCATCACGGCTGTCATTCACATCCCCATCACGGCTGTCATTCACATGCCCATCACGGCTGTCATTCACATCCCCATCACGGCTGTCATTCACATACCCATCACGGCTGTCATTCACATCCCCATCAAGGCTGTCATTCACATGCCCATCACGGCTGTCATTCACATGCCCATCACGGCTGTCATTCACATGCCCATCACGGCTGCCATTCACATCCCCATCACGGCTGTCATTCACATGCCCATCACGGCTGTCATTCACATGCCCATCACGGCTGTCATTCATATGCCCATCACGGCTGCCATTCACATCCCCATCACGGCTGTCATTAACATGCCCATCACGGCTGTCATTCACATCCCCATCACGGCTGTCATTCACATCCCCATCACGGCTGTCATTCACATCCCCATCACGGCTGTCATTCACATGCCCATCACGGCTGTCATTCACATGCCCATCACGGCTGTCATTCACATGCCCATCACGGCTGTCATTCACATCCCCATCACGGCTGTCATTCACATCCCCATCACGGCTGTCATTCACATGCCCATCACGGCTGTCATTCACATCCCCATCACGGCTGTCATTCACATCCCCATCACGGCTGTCATTCACATGCCCATCACGGCTGTCATTCACATCCCCATCACGGCTGTCATTCACATCCCCATCACGGCTGTCATTCACATCCCCATCACGGCTGTCATTCACATGCCCATCACGGCTGTCATTCACATCCCCATCACGGCTGTCATTCACATCCCCATCACGGCTGTCATTCACATGCCCATCACGGCTGTCATTCACATGCCCATCACGGCTGTCATTCACATCCCCATCACGGCTGTCATTCACATCCCCATCACGGCTGTCATTCACATGCCCACCACGGCTGTCATTCACATCCCCATCACGGCTGTCATTCACATGCCCATCACGGCTGTCATTCACATCCCCATCACGGCTGTCATTCACATACCCATCACGGCTGTCATTCACATCCCCATCACGGCTGTCATTCACATGCCCATCACGGCTGTCATTCACATCCCCATCACGGCTGTCATTCACATGCCCATCACGGCTGTCATTCACATCCCCATCACGGCTGTCATTCACATGCCCATCACGGCTGTCATTCACATCCCCATCACGGCTGTCATTCACATCCCCATCACGGCTGTCATTCACATGCCCATCACGGCTGTCATTCACATGCCCATCACGGCTGTCATTCACATCCTCATCACGGCTGTCATTCACATCCCCATCACGGCTGTCATTCACATGCCCATCACGGCTGTCATTCACATCCCCATCACGGCTGTCATGCACATCGCCATCACGGCTGTCATTCACATGCCCATCACGGCTGTCATTCACATACCCATCACGGCTGTCATTCACATGCCCATCACGGCTGTCATTCACATCCCCATCACGGCTGTCATTCACATGCCCATCACGGCTGTCAGTCACATCCCCATCACGGCTGTCATTCACATCCCCATCACGGCTGTCATTCACATGCCCATCACGGCTGTCATTCACATCCCCATCACGGCTGTCATTCACATGCCCATCAAGGCTGTCATTCACATGCCCATCACGGCTGTCATTCACATCCCCATCACGGCTGTCATTCACATGCCGATCACGGCTGTCATTCACATCCCCATCACGGCTGTCATTCACATCCTCATCACGGCTGTCATTCACATGCCCATCACGGCTGTCGTTCACATGCCCATCACGCCCTTGATTTACGCCCATCATGGCATTGACCAATGCTACCTGCCACACCAGCCCCACGTGAATATGTGGAACCAGACATTGTCGTTGCCGAGGATAACAGCCACCTCCGCCTCTCCCCCCATCATGCCCATCCTAGCAATCACGCCCATCATGGTCCTGACTGCTGCCACCTGCTGCACCAGCCCCACCTGCTCCTCACCAAACCCACCTGAACATGTGGAACCACGCGTCATGGTTGCCGAGAATCACCGCCACCTCCACTTGCCCGCCCATCATGGCCTTCACTGCTGCTATCTGCCGCACCAGCCCCACCTGCTCCTCGCCAAAGTCACCTGCACGCATTGGGGCCCCACATGTAGACATGAGCAATTTAAATCGCATCGCATCGCATCGCATCGCGATTAATCGCGATTTGCGATGGCGATGTATTTTTTTTTTTTTTAATTCATCGCGCGATGCGATGATTTATTTATCGCGCGATTTAATTTAAATCGCATTTAAATCGCAGCGGAAAATCGCGATTTAAACGCGATTTGCGATTTAAATTAAATCGCGCGCGATGTCGAAATACATCGCAGCGCGAAATCTCGCCAGCACATTGGGAAAATTTGCAAAGCCCTCCCCACACCATCCAGCTGGCAGCTGCCCTCCCCCCTTCCCCCCCCCCCCCTCCCCCCTTTTGAAACCCATGCACCTATTTTTTTTTAAGCTACGGAAGTCGGGCCCTTACCACGGGGCTCGCATTTGTGTGAAACCCACTCTGAACGGTATTTTTAATCGTCAATGCCCGCACCATCACGTGTTCCAGTTTTCAAAAGTTTTTTTTTTTTTTTTGAAAACGTTTACAAATGCGATGCGATTTTATATCGCATCGCGCGATTTAATAAATCATCGCTTGCGATTTTTAAATACATCGCAGGCAAAACGCGATGTGCGATGTATTTTTTTCCAAAAATTAAATCGCGCGATGCGATTTAAAATCGCATCGCAAATTAAATCATCGCACCTGCATGCGATGCGATTTAAATCGCAATCGCATTTTGCCCATGTCTACCCACATGCACATCCAACATATTGCACCCATTGGGGCCCCACATGCACACACAACATATTGCCCATCATGGCTTGCACTGCTGCCAATTCTTGAGGCGCCTAGGAAAACAACATGTCGCCCATCATGGCCCTCCCTGCTGCTATCTGCCGTACCAGCTGCACCTGCTCCGAGTCCTATCCACAGTCACCTGCGCCCATCGCACCCCGTGCACAGTGCACAGTGCACAGTGCACAGTGCACACTGCGCACTGCGCACTGCGCACTGCACACTGTACACTGCACACTGCACACTGCACACTGCACACTGCACAGTGCACAGTGCACACTGCACACATGGCGTCCTTGTATTCTATGTGAGATGGCTTTTACGTTGACTCAAAAGACACCGTACCCCGTGCACGTGCACTGCACACATGGCATCATTGTATCGTATGTATGCATACGTACATGCATGTTGACGTTCGTATGCATGCGTGTATATGGTGACGGATTTCATGCGCACATTCTTGTATCGTATGCATACATGCATGATGACGTTCATATGCGTGTGCATGGCTATTATGACCATACGCACGTTTTTGTACATGCAACTGCATGCGTTGTCAACACTGCCGTGGGAAAGTACGTATCGACACACAAACACACGATAGACTTGCAACTAAGGAGAGTGGGAATGAGGGGCAGAAGAAGAGAGGAGGAGGGAGAAATATGGCAGGCAAGTAGGGGGATGGAATGCGCAAATACGCACCGACAAAAAGAATGATATCGGGCTGGTTTTGGAGGCCGGGCAGATGAAACATGAAGCGTGGACACCGGATGTGGAGTGAACGACGGGGGATGAGAAACAACAAGGCGAGGGGAGGGGGGAGGCAGGCAGGTCAGAAGGGAGGGGAGGGGAGTGGAGGGGAGCAGGCGGAGGGAAGGGGGATGTGTGAGAAACGGGGAGAGGCAGCTGATAATGGGTAGGCGAGGAAAGAAGGAAGATAAGACGAGGAGGGCATGTTGTTGAGGCGTTTCAGCGGAATAGATGGTAACGGACGGAACTCATCAGGGACAATGGCGTCTCAGCGTGATTCGGGCTTAGACAATGGCATGGCGCAATCCATCCGGACGTACGATGCATGCATTGGCTAGAGTGGAGCGCATGCATTGAAGTTAGCGCGCTACTCGCACGTTGAATTGACACTACCATGAAGGACGCATGCATTGACATGAGTCATGCGGAGAAACGATCCATACATATGGTCTAGTCTCGCACGACCCTCGCACAGACATGGCATGGCAATGCGCTTCACAAAAGGATCAGGCATGATTGCATTGCCGTGGCGAAAATCCCTCTCTGAGCGGGAGGAGGAGGCACACACGACACGAGTACCTGAGGTGATCCCACACCCACCAAAACACCCACCACATGGTAATGTACCCTATGCCACAGGGCAGTAATACATGGTCAGGTGCGTGCACGTGACATGGCAATGCGCTTCACTAAGGGATCATGCATGATTGCAGTAGCAAAAATCCCTTTCTGAGCGGGAGGAGGCACACACGACACAATTGCCTGAGGTGATCCCACACCCCCCCACCTCATGGTAATGCCGCAGGCCAATCTTGCATGGTCAGGTGCATCAATAGAGGCCTCAAAATGAATTCATAAGTTGCAAAGAATTCATTGGTTCAAATGAATGATCAATCCACCTTGAGAAGCTTCAGAGCAGCCAGATCCCTCCACGGATGCCACATGCCATGCTGCAATTGGACGAGCAGGAGAGGTGAGCAAAGCAACAGGCACACGTTGCCAGTTAGTGCTTGTAGCAAGGTTGTGCTTGAAACGAAAAGGCAAGAAATCTCCAACAATGCCACCAAAAGCCGGAGAGAACGGTTTGCTCACCGGTGCGTGGGCAGAAGAGCAATCTACCAGCTGCATCTCTACACCAACTAGCAACCTCTGCTTTCAGCAGCAGCATGCACTGAACCATCACCATTGTAGAGACTACAACTCACCACATCCCCGATGCGAGGGACAACTCGAAAGTTACTTTAGAGACATCTCAAAACTAACGTACTGAACCACGGAGTCTTCAACTCACTACATCCCCGACGACCACTATTCTAAGCCTTCCTGTCCTCCTCGGTCCAGGTCCTGAAGCCTCGTCCTCTCCAGTCGCCGCGCGCCTCCTATCCTCTCCCGCCATGCACAGTTGGTTACCCGTCGCAAACGTTCGCGAGCCGGTAATTGCTCGCAGGGGATTCCGAGCGAAAGGAGAGGAGAAGAAGCGGAAAGCACGCTGCCACCAGCAAACGCAGCGACCGCCGAGACAGGCGACAGCGTGATACCGAGGACGTGATTGGTCAGAAAAATGTATTTGTTGGTCTACTCGACCAACTAGTGGTTGAAAATGCGGGCTCTTCAGGTTATTATCGTTCGGTACTCTGAACCTTCCACAGGGCGAAGTGCGGGCAACGGCAGAACTAGTAGAGGTAACACGCGGCCTGGTTCTAACGTTTGCGAAATTCTGAAAGCGTACGGTTCGCATCGGTTCGTGAACCGCGCTGGGTAACATAACCTGATGTAACGCCGTGACAACTGACTGAGACCGCGGCGATGCGAGACGTTGTAACGCGCGGCGTCGTGTGTCGTGCGGGGTTTAGGAGATTAAACGACAGCGGTAGGCGTGTCAGATACGCTACTGACGCGCCACGTGGCAGGAGGCAGTCCCGATCAGCACTTTCACTCACTCAATGAACACCAAGAAACTCCCCGCAACAAGCATAAGCATACAAGTTAAGTTCTTACATGATATGAATGTGGCCATAAAGTCAAACCGGCGAACCCAATAACACAGGTGAAGGGTTGTTACCAGGGCCCTTTTTATCGGACGAAATCGGTCTGATAGTCTGATTTTCAGACCTGATTTTTTAGGTTCATCTGAAAGTTTAGACAACCTTGGAAAATTCATCTGATCGTTAAGAGCAATGTTTTATTTTCGTATGAAATTTAAGACTGCGTGCAATATTTCGTATGAGTCTGCAGACAGCGCGTATTATTTCATCTGGAAACGTTTTCTGCAGGCCTGTGGTATGAGAGCGCTGATTGCCCCTTAGCCAAAATCAGGGCCCGATACTTGCTGGGAGTCTCTTATCAGAAGGAGAGAAGTGAATGATCATTAGAGAGAGAGTACAAATGGATATACCTAAGTATTCTACTCTCTAAGAAGTTACCCTATACAGTCTATGCAAACATAACAGATACACATGTTTGACACACCCCCTAGACTGCATAGGGGAATGACCTGAACAAGCAGCTCAGGGCGGCACTACTAGTCCAACCTCTGAGACAAGGGTCTAAAAGACCAGTCAGAAGGAGTTGAAACAAGGCAAGAACAAGACCAGGGCGGTACTACTAGTCCAGCCACTGGGAGAGGACACAAGTCCAGTCTGAGTATAAATATATAAAGGACAGTACAAAGTCAAGGCCCTAGCATGTGACAGGCTACAAGAACTAGACCAAGCTGTACGCAGTGCCGCTGATGATCTTTAGGCGCAAGCGCCTTCGTAAAGATATCAGCTGTGTTGGCACCTTAGGCCAAGTGTACTACGCGAGCCTGGCGTCGCTGCTGTAGCTCGCGCAGGAGGAAGTACCGCAGCTGAATATGCTTCGCTCTGCCCTCGAGTCGAGGCTCCTGACACAGGAGGATCATGGCCCTGTTGTCAGCGAACAAGACCGGGGCAGAGCTGGGCCGCTCACCTAAGTCAGTGAGCAAGAAGGTCAGCCAGCGGAGCTCCTGTGCCGCCATGGCACCAGCGTAGATCTCAGCCTCACAGCTGGACTGGGCAACAGACGAGGACCGGGTAGCTCTCCATGAGACAGCACCTGAGCCAAGGCTAAAGCAGTAGCCCTGGGTAGACCTGAGTGTCTCGGCGTCGTCTGCCCACGAAGCGTCTGTGTGTCCAGTAAGGACCACTGGCCTGCGTCCTCCTAGCACTAACCCCATGCCCGATGTACTAGCAAGATAACGCAAAACCCTCTTAGCGGCAGACCAGTGCTGCGGTCGGTGTCTGCCTGTGGCCACAAAGCAAGCCAGGATGCTGAGAGGGTATGCAAGATCTGGGCGAGTGCAAGTCATCAGGTACATGAGGCAACCCACCAGCTCTGCGTAGGAGCCGCTGGGCTCTACCGACTCCTCAGACACTAGAGCGGAGAGTCTGTGGTCTACAGGCAGAGGGGTGGGCTGTGCAGAGGAGAACTGAAGGCTGAACCTCTGAAGGACCTGGCGCACCAAGTGTGACTGAGTCAGGGTGATGGTGCGCTGTGCTCTGTCCCTGGAGATCTGCAAGCCAAGGTAACGGCGCAGTTCTCCAAGGTCAGTGCAGGTGTGTCTCTTCAGCAGCTCTGCCTTCACGGAGGCCAGTGCGTCCCTGTCTGCTGTGGCAAAGACCAGATCGTCCACGTACACAAGGATGTAGAATGGAGTCTGGCCAGCACGAACGAAGAGTGAGGGGTCTGCGGAAGACAGGAAGAACTGCAGGTCAGCAAGCGTAGCACGGAGAGTGTCGTGCCACTTACGGGGAGCCTGGCGCAGGACTTAGACGGGGCGCCGCAGGAGCCACTGGGTCCCAGGAGGGAAGGTGCCAGTAAAGCCCTGGGGGCGACGCATGTAGACCTGCTCGTGTAGGCTGCCCTGAAGGAAGGCAGTGGAGAAGTCGAGGGAGTGAAGCTCGTAGTCACGCTGAGGAGCTAGGTTTAACAAAACCCGAAGAGTAGTCATCTTCGGGGTCGGAGCGAAGGTCTGGAAGAAGTCCACCCCCTCACGCTGACTGAAGCCTCTAGCCACATAGCGCGCCTTGAACACAGGCGGCTCTCCAGGAGGGCGCTTCACCTTGAAGAGCCAGCGGCCATCGACTACGTTCACCCCAGGCGGGGGAACTGCGTCGACGAAGGTGCCGGTGGATCTCCAAGATGCCATCTCCTGCTCCATGGCAGCTATCCACTTAGAGGCCCAAGGTACCGAGGTCGCCTCAGCGTAAGTGCGAGGGGTCGGGATGTCGAAAGCGTCTGGGTCACCCTCAGAGACTAGCAGCATGGAACAGAGATGGGGAGCAGCCTCAGGCAGGAAAGCAAGCTCGAACTGGCGGTCCTCCAAGACGTCACTGCCAAGGGCAGGAGCACCCCCGACAGACGGAGGATAGGCAGGGTCAGAGACCAGAGCGGTGGCGTAGTCAAGGCGGAGGGTAAAGGCGAAGTCAGCGACCGCAGCAACAAGAGCGTCAAGGCACGAGACCGGAACAGACGGGTCGGTAACGAGAGAGGCAAGGACCCGAGGAACAAGAGGACGAGCGGAACGAAGGTAGTCAGACAGCGGGGGGGGTGCAACAACAAGGGAGCACGGAGGAGGCGACGGGAGAAGGGGAGGACGAGACGCGTGGGAACGAAGCAACATAGGGTGGGAGCGTAAGACAGGCGAGGCAGGACGAGCACGTGAGGGACGGTGAGACCAGACGTGCGACGGAGGAGTCGGGTCAGGAGACAGGGGAGGGGACACAGGAGGGGAACGAGGAGGAAGACGGGCCGGGGACGAGTCCGGCGGGGGGAACACAGGGCCGTAGACGGGAAGAGGAGGAGACGGTCGGAGAGGAACAGCCGCAGGGTCAGGGGACGGAAGGCTGAGCAGGCGAAGGGCTGACACCGGCGGGGACAGCTGCTGCGGCGGCACAACGGCGACATCGGGACTGCAAGCGGCTCCTCGGCTACCACCGGCACACTCCACACCAGCACCCCCAGAGGAGCCACCCCCAGGGCTACCGGGACTAGCACCCCCAGAGGCAACGAACGGGTGCTGCGACGGCGGCGGCGACAACGACGGCTGCAGCGGCGGCAGAGGCGGTGAAGGAGGGGACTGGGGAGGTGGCGCCGGGGAAGGGGCGGCCGGCGAGGACTGCGCAGCAGGGCCACCAGAGTCCTAGGACTCCTCAACCGGGTCCACCGACGGGAGGGGGGTGACGTGGGACACACCAGAGGGGGCAGGACGGGGAGGAGGAGGGGGAGGGGCAGGGACTACCGGGGAAGGAGTAACCAAGAACAGGGGGGGGGTAACCGGGGGACCGCGGTGGGCGAAGCGACGGTAGTAGGAGACGGACTCGTCAAAGGTGATGTCGAGAGAGTGAAAGAAGCGGTGAGACGGCGGGTGGTAAAAATGCCAGTCGGACGCGTCAAGGGGAAAACCGAGGAAGACGCAGGGAAGGGTGCGGGCAGTGAGCTTGTCCGTGCCGGAGGCACGGACGTGAGCAAGGCAGCCCCAGACGTGGAACGCAGACGCGTCACCAGGAGACCCAGTCCAAAGACGGGTCAGCGAAACCTGCGGCTGCTGAGGGTGCGGCCACAAGTTAAGCTGGTGAGAAGCGTAGCGCACAGCGAACGGCCACAGAAAATGGGGTGCACCGGCATGGATCATGGAGGTGCGAGCCACCTCCATGACCAAACCGATGCGACGCTCAGCGACCCCATTCTGCTGCGGGGAGTCCGGCAAGGTGAACGTCTGGGTGATGCCCTCCGCACGATAGAAGCGACCAAGGACACCTGAGGCAAACTCGCCACGACGGTCGGAGTGAAGTCGCAAAACAGGGAGACCGCGGTGGACACGCGCAGAGACAAGCCAGGGGATGAGAGCGCCAGGCACGTCGGCCTTGCGCTCCAGGGGAAAGACTGTGGTGTAACGAGTAAAGTCGTCGACAAGCACAAGGAAGTAGCGCTCGCGACGCGGCCCAGGGATGGGGGCGGGGCCCCAAACGTCTCCAGGTGCAGGGTCTGCAGCGGCGCGGCGGTAGGGGAAAACGAGGAGGAGTGAGGGGCACGGCGAAGCCGACCCTCGACACAAGGCGCGCAAGGTGGGGCAGGGGAGGAGGGAAACGCGGGGAGAGAACCTGGGAGACCAAGGACAAGACCGTGCTGGGACATGTGACGCAGACGCGGGAGCGCAGCGTGACCTAGGCGGTGGTGCCAAAGGAGAGTCGGGTGAGTGAGGGACCGACAGGAGCAGGCAGCAGCAACCTGGGTAGACGCAGCCACCTGAGGAGGCGCCCCAGCCGGGGGGGTCACGGTGTCCAGAGTGAACAGGTCGGACACCGGGTCCCGGGGGAACGTGGACAAGGGGGCACCAGTGGCGGCCTCGGTACAGACAGCATACCGCTCGTGACCAGGGAACGTAGTGGTGACGCCAAGGTCCTGGAGGCAGCCGACACCAACTAGGTTCCTGGAGAACGAGGGGATATGCAGACCTGTGAGAGAGCCCGAAGGAACCGCCGGACAGGGAAGGGTGGTGGAACTGCGGGCGACTACCGGACCGCCGGAGGGGTCAGCAAGAGAGATGGCAGCTGGGACAGGAAGCGGCGTCAGGGTGGTGGAGTCGCGGAAGAAACACCGAGAAGCGCCAGAGTCCAAGGTGAAGGAAAGCAAAGTAGAGGCGTCTGGCAACGGAACGACGGCGGAAGCACCAAGACTACACAAAGCAGGGGATCCTACGCCTGACGCAGCAGGGGAGGCTAAGCTAGGCACACCTACACTAGGCAACAGTGAGTAATAAGCGGGAAGCACACTAGAGTCATCAGCATACATCACATGCAGAGCAGCACCAATGGCATCCATCTCCATATCA